ATTATATTATGATGTGAGTCGCCACCCATTCGGTCCCATGTCCTCGGCTAACTGCATCTCTAACACAGAGAAATCAGTAAAAAAAAACGGCAAAAAACACGACATACAAGCGGAATTAATTTGCGGAACGAAAGAAGTAATGTATAATGTCAGTGAAACCATACATAAATATTTTAAAGAATTCTAGCCCTTACTGCTTTGTTTACATTGATATATAAAAACACTCAAGGAGTTCACTCACGGTCGCTCGGTTAATATCAACGAAGCCAGTGTAGTGTAATGTGGGTTGTATAACCGTAGACTTTTTGTGCATTTTGATAGTTTGAGCTGGGTGATCAATTAATGGTGTGTGTGTGTGTGTGGTGTGTGTGTGGTTGTGTGTGTGTGTGTGTGTGTGTGTGTGTGTTTGTGTGTGTGTGTGTGTGTGTGTATGTGTGTACCTCTGCATATACGGGAGTACAAAGCATGTGATACCACCATGACTTGACATACCCCCCCCCAAAAAAAAAAAAAAAAAAAAAAAAAAAAACGAGGGAGAGAGAAAGAAAACCGAAACATTTCTCCATGTTTCGTTTTGCGTTTCCATCTGCGAGCAATATCCGGACGCCTCGGGGGAAGAGGGGAGCTAGAGGGGAGAGCGACGAGTGGGAGAGGGAAGGGGAGAATAATGAGAGGCGGGTGTAAATAAAGAGCAAGGGGAATGGTGGGACTGGATCGCAAGGAATGGTAATGGCAAAAGGAAGAAGAGAAGAGAGAGAGAGAGAGAGAGAGACAGAGAGAAGAGAGAGAGAGAGAGAGAGAGAGAGAGAGAGAGAGAGAGAGAGAGAGAGAGAGAGAGAGAAGAGAGAGAGAGAGAGAGAGAAGAGAGAGAGAGAGAGAGAGAGACGAGAGAGAGAGGAGAGGTGAGAGAGAGAGAGAGACGAGAGAGAGAGAGAAGACAGAGAGAGAGAGAGAGAGAGAGAGAGAGGGGAGAGAGAGAGAGAGTGAGAGGAGAGAGAGATTTAGAGAGATTACTTTCATTTACTTTTTTCTTCCCAGGATGCGATCTGGAGGAGGGAAAAAAAATATCTCAATGATTTGAGACGGGTATAAAGTAAAGGATTACCTTCACTAACTATATAGCATAAAGTGCATCTAAAATCAGCTTACTGACTGACTTTTATACAAGTAGGCATCGGATAAACCAAAAAAACTGAAATAAAATACCATGCATAAGCATCACATGCAAGTGGAAATGTTACGTCACTCAAAAAATCAATTCTTCTCGCTAGAAATATCTCCTTCGCCCTACTCAGATAACAAAGAATCTTCAAGACGTTTAACATGGCTTGCGCGTCGTCTCGTCGAGCAACACTCTCTCTCCTTTCTCTTCTTCTCTCCTCCAATTTCCTGCCAAGAATTTTAACATGCTAGACCCCCCTCGCTTCCCGTTTTCTCTGGAGACACAGAGGCGATGCGAAGGTTCAGGTAACTTGTACTCAAAGTCTTTGCGAAATACCGAATGACGGTATTGAGGAGCTACAGTGTGCAATTCTGTCCGTATTGATTTAAAAGTATTGCAAAAAAAGAAGAAGAAGAAAAGAAGAAGGGGAAAAAGATGTCCTATATTGAGTTTGGCGTCGAGGCTTGTTGCAAGAAACTCTAGCATAAAAAGGAAAGGAATTCTTGCTCATTTTTCGTTCTTTTTTTCAATTCAGTTCAATTTTCGTTCTCATTTTTCATAGCATATTTCTGTCTCTTCTTTCTGAAGAAAAAAAGGAAAAGGGAATTCATTATACTTTCATGAAGCGACATGCGGCAACAAACACAATTTTACTTTTTCATGCAATGTTTTATTTTAACTTTTCACATTTCATATTTCATATAAATAAAATATTTTCATATCTCCTTTGACTTTGGAACAATAAGTAGCAAAGTTGTTGAATCTATAATAAAAATGCATATACAATTATCTAGGTTACGTAATTTACAGATATATACAGTGAATGTTGTTTGGCAATTCATGATGATACACTGTCGCAATATGAACGAAATAGAACGTATGTTTCGAACTAATCAAGAGTTCCTCGTCAGACTATTTATGTACACACACACAACAGACACAGACACACACAGACACACACACACAGACAACAACACACACACACACACACACACACACACACACACACACACACCACATATATACCATACATATATATATATATATGTATATACATATATATAATATATATATATATATATATATATATATATATATATATATATATATATACATATATATATATATTATATAATATATATATATATATATATATATATATATATATATATATATATATATTATATATATATATATATATATATATATATATATATATATATATTATATATTTATATATATATATATATATATTATATTATATATATATATATATTATATATATATTAATATATATTATATTATGTATATATATATATTATATATATATATATATATATATATATATATATATATATATGTATACATATATGTATATATATATATATATATATATTATATATATATTATATATATTATATATATATATGTATATATATATATATATATATATATATATATATATATATATATATATATATATATTCACGCATATATATATATCGCAAGTAAATGACAATGAAAAAGGATGTGACAAAATTGCTTCCACGCCATGTTAAATTGCGCACCTTCATCAAGCAAGCAAACTGCAATAAAAGAAAATCTACATACGAGAAAAGGAATAAAAGAGAACCTCGATAAATTTATTTCTGCGATTTTCTCCTATTTCTCTCCATCTTTCCTCTCTCCTCTCTCTTTTTTTTTTTTCTCTCTCTCGCGCTATCTCTCTCTCTCTCTCTCCCCTCTCTCCTTTACTCCATCCTTCTTCCTCTCCCAATCCCTCCCCCTCTCCTTATCCCCCTCTCTCCCTCCCACTTCCCTCTCGCATTCTCGCATTCTCCCACGTCCGTGTTTATCTCCTTATGCTTTCAACAGCTATGCTAGTTCGCGACGACCCTCAATATAAATGGATATGAGGCCGGTACCTGAGGCACTCCAAAGCTATCTCTGTTGTAGAATGCGAGAGGTATCGGTTCTGACAGTCTCGAAAAGGGCGCTTTTGTTTTCCCATCTATGAAAAATTCCCCAACTACGATATTATTATTTTTTTCTCCGGTTTTGTTTGTTTGTTTGTTGGTCTCAGTACGCTTCGAAATTTGATAATGGAATTCTTACAATGGCAATACCCATTTTTTTTTTCTCTCTCTTTTTTTTTTCTTTTTATAGGAGGCCACAAATGAGATGAAGCTAGAACAATCATTTTGATATGATTATGTACTTTTTACAAGGGAAGAATTACAAGCAATTGGACATTCTTTTTCTATTTTTTACGCATCTAATATCAGTTTAGGTTAAAAAAGAATGTAGAAGGGATG